GATCCGGATTAGCCAGCAGGTGGGTCTGGATCCGGATTAGCCAGCAGGTGGGTCTGGATCCGGATTAGCCAGCAGGTGGATCTGGATCTGGACCGCGGTCCGCTAATCCGTGACCTTTGTTATGGAGCCTGCAGGCCGCTGCAGTAAAGCAGCTGCCTGGGTTCTGATCTTTGCGGCTGTAGAAGGTCATGGGGAGGAAATGATGTCACAGTTTGCATCAGAACGACCGCCGTAACCGTGCGGTGAACTTTATAATGACCTCAGCTAACTGACTTTTTCAGACAGATGATCACTACTTTTTGCTCTCCACTGGTCACATGACTCCCCGCACCATCTTGGTTATTAGTCGCTACCTGACAGCAGGACGCTGTGAAAGAAAATCCCATGATGCTTTGTGTAGAAAGCTCTCACAAAGCATTCTGTGATATATATCTGCACATGGAGGATCACTACTTTTCAAGGTGCATTGTGGGAAGTTTCAAGTCCACTACCTTTACATCCATTGGCTGTCAGGATTATATAGGGACACAGCGACAGAGAAGATGGAGGTCAGGGAGGTCAAGGAGGTCAGGGAGGTCAGGGAGCTCAGGGAGGTCAAGGAGGTCAGGGAGGTCAAGGAGGTCAGGGAGGTCAGGGAGGTCAGGGAGGTCAAGGAGGTCAGGGAGGTCAAGGAGGTCAGGGAGCTCAGGGAGGTCAGGGAGCTCAGGGAGGTCAGGGAGCTCAGGGAGGTCAGGGAGGTCAGGGAGCTCAGGGAGGTCAAGGACTAAAAGGATTGGGTTTCTTAGAATAGACTTCCTGGTAGCTTCCTCCAACCAAACTGATTAGAATATGTTTTCTGTTCAAAGGGTGGAAATAAATCAGGCGGTTAAATGTCACTTTTAGAGCGCAACACCCTGCCCCCACCCACCTTTGTAGCCCCGCCTCCACCCACCTTTGTAGCCAGAGAGTGTGATGCCCCAGCCTCCAGCAGCACGGAGGCGGTCTCCACCTGCCCCTCCCGGGCAGAGATGTGTAGCGGCGTGTAACCGTTGGTGGTGGCAGCATCAGGATGGGCCATGTGCTGCAGCAGCAGCTGAACGATCTCCGTTTTTCCCAGACGGGAGGCGATGTGCAGAGGGGTCTGGTCCTCCTGAGAAGGAGAAGGAGGAGCATGTTTAAATCCAACAGGAGCAGAGCGGTTCCTCCTGATGGTGGCTGTGACATGAGGAACCTCACCCGGGCCCGAGCATCCACCATGGCTCCGTTCCTGAGCAGACATCGGACCACCTCCACCTGCCCGGCCCTGGCTGCCATGTGCAGCGCCGTCTCTCCTCGCTGAAACAGCAGGAAACCAGACGTCACACGACTCAAAGGCTACGTCAGACATGTCCAGGTCCCCATAACTCACTATGTTGCTGACGTCGGCCGAGGCGCCGTTCTGCAGCAGCAGGAGGACGATGTTCAGGTGACCCATGAAGGCCGCCACGTGGATGGGGGTCAGACCGGACTGGACACAAGGCAGAGCAACAGGCAGTGAGCAGAGGATCCCAGCTATAAGGGGGCGGGGGGGTACTACCTCCACCTTCACATCAGAGGCGACAAACTGCTGTTACTGACATTAGAGCGTTCTGCTGTCAAGGTTACCATGCTGTCATTCTATTGGATGGAACGGTTGCTAGGCAATGATCAACTTCTAAACTGACAACTAAAACTTTCCATTTTGATAAAGCTTCTAGTTAGAGTGGCTCAGGTTATCCTGAGCCGCCTGTGGAGCTGGTTGACAGTTGCCTTTTGGGAAGAACAGAGGAAGTTTGAAGGGAAGCAAACTAAAATAGGAGCTCCTGAGTTTTGGCAGAAAAAAAATCCTCCCTAAGAAGTTTGAAGATGGAGTCAAAGTGAGAATCAAAACATTTAAGAACTCTGAACTGAGGGTTTATGTCCCCAGAAGGTCGTTCAGGAACGCCGTCTCCTACCTCTGTGATGGCCTGGATGGACGCGCCGTATTTCACCAGCAGCTCCATCACTTTGACGCGGTTCTTCTTGCAGGCGATGTGCAGCGGAGTGAAGCCGTTCTGTCAGAGGGATGAAAACAATCAGACGCTTTGATCCACAGCAGCGGATCAGGAACCGCCGCGGCGACCCACCAGAGCGCGGGCGTTGGGGTTGGCCCGCTTGTCCAGCAGCAGTTTGGTGACCCTGTAATGGCCACAGTGAGCCGCCACATGCAGCGCCGTCAGGTAGTCCAGAGTGACGTCATCCACCGGAGCCTTGTGCTGCAGCAGGTGTTTGACGCATTCCACGTGGTCGCCCTGCGCCGCCATGTGCAGCGGGGACAGCCCATTCTGGAAGGTGAACAGGACACGAGAGGTGAACATGGTTTCTCCCATGATTAACAACGGAACCAAATACCATCCATGTGGATCAGAACCATGAGGGAGAAGAACCTGTGACCCACCTTGGTTCTGGCCAGTAGAGGCGCTCCTCTCTCCAGCAGCAGCTCCACCGCCGTCTCATGTCCGCTCCGAGCCGCACAGTGAAGCGGAGTCAGCCCGTCCTGTAAAGCACACGGGACAGAACCGTTAGCCACCTTCAGCTGCTGATGAAGCTCTGGGCCTAAACAGGTGGTCAGTCAGCGGCATGTCGTTAGCCTATATTAATGGCTAATAACCCGGCATCTGGCATCCAACCAATGGATGGAGGCTAATAACCCGGCATCTGGCATCCAACCAATGGATGGAGGCTAATAACCCGGCATCTGGCATCCAACCAATGGATGGAGGCTAATAACCCGGCATCTGGCATCCAACCAATGGATGGAGGCT